AAAAAAAATTTCTCAATTTATAAAGAGATAAAACTTTTTTTAAGTGAAGTAATGCGTAAATGTGTCAAATTTACTTTTAAGAAAAAATTCTCATTAAAACAGATTGTATGTACTCATTGTTTTTAATGAGGATTTGTTGTCGGAAGAGGACTTGTAATCATTAATGTTAGTCGCATTTACCATGGACAATTAATTGTCTAACAATTCACAAAGTAATCAAAATGGATTACGAGACGTGAATTCCTTATACACAGAATTCAATAAAAAATATTTTCTAAATATATTTTTTATTCTTTACACATCATAATGCATGAATGCGTGTGTATAAAATATGCTATTATGTAAAAAATTGATATAAAATTATTATTTTCAACATTCTAACCGTACAAAGTTTCATAAGACACAGTTTTATATACTTTTTATAAAATAAATATCGTCGATAAGAGCAGGTATATGCACTGATAGTTTGTTATTCGAGAATACTTTGCAATATATAACAAGCAACTAACAATACAGGCAGAAAGTAACAATACGGAAGGAGCTTACCATCGATTCGCTATTATAAAAAATATGTATTTTGATTTGTTTCCTATCTTGTTTATTATAAAATAGCTATAAAATTTTTAGTTAAAATTCTAATCTCGTTAATTCTTGTGTTATTTTATTACTAATTTTCCCGAAAAATGCGATAGGATAATGAAATAAGACAACGCAGCACGTGGACAAAGGACTTTCTATAACAAAATGACCCCTGTTCAAGTGTTACACACGCGAAGAAAACTCGGAAAATTCCACGTGGCTAGTAAGTTGGTGAGGCGCGAATCCGCGACTAACTTCCAGTGTTTAGCAGTTTTATCCACTCGAAACCTCTAAAAAATAAATTCCATTTGAAAATTTTCTATTTTATCCAATTGTGAAATAAAATTACATTTACTAACTTTTCTATAGAGATTTTTAGATTAATATTTTTAGAATTTCAATAGAATAAAAAAACACTCCAAAGAAAAGTCAGCAAGAAGCATTTGGTGTGTTTAAAGTAAGTCAAGAAAAATTGAATGTCTAAAATGATAAAAATAATAATAATAATAATGGTAAAGAGAGGAAAGTTTTGAGATTTTATACCAGATACAGATCATTAAACAAGAAAATTCGGTAGAAAGAGGGAGGAAAATAAACCGGAAAAATCAGTGACGTCCATAGTTACAATTTATTCGAATATTTTTCCAAAACATTTTTTTAAATATTGTATTAACAAATGTCTACTTATGATTTATTACACGATAAATATTTAAAAATTCATTTTAATAGAATATAACGTTACAATTTATAAATGACGTACTGTACTTGTAAAATATCCTGTCTAAATTTCAGACACAATGATCTTGACGCGTCGCTGGTGCTGAGCGACACGTCAAGGTCATTCAAGGTTATTTATGTTTGACATATTAAATTTTAAAAAGAAGCAATTTGTGTTCGTTGTTGTAATATAATGCTAAACAATTTGATAAATGAATTTTATACTGAAACTAATTTAAAGTTAGGAATTTCTGCCGATATTTGTATAGTAGGCAGGATGGTGGAGGCAATAATGGCGCCAGTCTATTTGTCTTGGTAACCCGGGATTGAATCCCAGGAATGTTTCATGACGGTCTGTCCCGACTATTTCGGGCCAAATCTCTCACCATCGTGGGCCTGTCCAAACCCACAATGGGCCTGGAAAATAGGCCCTTTTAGTGCCCACAGTAAGGCAAGAGTCAAAAATTAAAAAAAAAAAAAACATGTATAACTCTGGAAACACTAAATAATTTTTGTATTTAATTGCAAATGATTCTAACAATAAAATTAAAATTTATATGCAATTATTTAGTATATTTTATTTATTTTCTTGGCACTAAAACTATTCTAATTGTTCATTTAGCGTGTTTAATCTGGATAATTCAACTTGTAAAACTGATTTACATCTCGGCAATCCCCTTTAATGAGTGGATTTGGAATTTAGAAAGCGGTCGATAATATTTTCTCCAACAATTATAATTAAAATAATAATAATAATAATAGTGGTGGTAGTAGTAGTAGTAGTAGTAGTAAAAAACGCAATAAAGAGGGGAGATATCATCAATCATCGCCATTATATTTTATCGTTCTTATGTCATTACGACCAACACGTGTCACTAATAAATTAAATTCAGATGAAAAAAACGGAAGTGAATAAAAAACACCCACCTTAAACATCCTGGTATTACAAGTTACCATAATTTAAAATTTTGTGGAAATTCTTAAATTGGTTTCTATAAAAAATATTCCCGAATTAAACGTGTAGGAGCTCTAAATTATATATTTAGATTATAACCAAAATATTCTAAGAAACTAAATTTAACATTTCAAGTAAATTACCCCTATTCAACGCCTTCTGAAAAAAATATTTAGCAGTCAAAATGCAACAGAATTTAGTATGGTGACCTTTCGGGACATGTGGAAGACATCTCCGTAAAATGACCTAGTACTAAAACTTGCCAGTGTGGCATTTTTGGCGCCGAAAGCAACATATAAAACAGTTTTATTTGTGGGGACACATAAAATTGTGATTTATCGAGAACGTGTTGCAAATTCGGACTCCTCGAATGATAGTAGCACACCGCATGTAACAAGCATCACAGAGGATCAATTACTACCATTGCCTTTAGATTTTACACCTTCAGAATGGGCACCAGCATATCTAGGGGCTATACAGACCACATTGAGCAGTATCACCTGCATTGCTAAGGTCGCTAGTACGTGTCTTGTTCGAATAAAATGTTTGTTGATCGCAGCGCCAAAACTGCCATACCGGCGAGTTCTGGTATTAAACTTCTACAGATATATCTTCCCCGCGTCTCGAAATGTCACCATGCCGAATTTGGTTGCATTTGGACTGCTATATATCGCTGTACACAGCTTTGGACAAGGTTGCTTTAATTACGATCAGCCGGTATTTAGATTATTCCAAGAACATTTCAATGTAGAACTTAAATTTAATATTCAGAATATTCCGAATAATTTTAAATAGGCATATTATATTACCGTAAATTAGCTAATAATAATTTAAAATAATTTAATTTTATACCTATTTAAATACTCCGAACAGGCTATAATTTAGCCTATAATTACTTCGAACAATAACCAAGAAGATTTATTCACGACACTTCCGTTTATCCGGAATGATAACAAATCATTAGTTAAATTACAATATTATCCCGTTATCCGGAGTTAAAACAGATTAATTCTGTGGTCAGTTGAAGTTTACAGTTTATAAATTTTGAGTTATCGCTGCGGTCAGCATTAATAGAGCAGCATATTGACAAGTTAAAAATTACAAAAAAAAGAAAAGAAAAAAAGCGGATTTTTATCAAAATAAAACTAAATGAACACTCCGAAACTACGTAAATCAATATAGGCACAAGTCGGCTCGACTTCTTGATAATCGATATGTAATTTTAATTAAAATTATGGCGGCTCGTAAACCTTTAAAACCGTTTCTACCAGGTAGCAGTTTAGAGCATTTCCCATCTGTTTAAATGGATAAATAATGAAGACGATGGCACCGTTCAAGTGCTGATTGCACTTTAATATATTGAAGCCGATAAGTTATTTATATTGGAGACTTAAAGTCGTGTTAGAAACAAATTGCAAATGGTTATGTGGCGCATTAATATTCAAGTGTTAAACTATTACACGCTTAAAACTTTAAGTATGTTTTAAAACAATATGGCTTTCGTCTAATTTCGCATTTTACAAATTTTTAAATTGAATTTTATATGTTCTTAGAATCGAGAAAGATTTTTATAGTAATTTAAAGTGAAAATACAGAGTGAGTTACTCGCCTACGGATCAACAATCCATTAGGAATTAGCCCAAAATAAGAATTTGTCACTGGACTTACATCAAATGCTTCGTCGAACAAATTCGTGACTGGAATAATAATTCGTCAATCCCTTTGGTAGGAGGAAAGTTGTTTCTGCATTAATATTCTTAGGATTTTCTATACACAACAAGCATTAGTCGGTGTCTAAAACAACATCAATTAAACCTTTTATCGAAGATAAATCCAGTTTATAATCTTTCTCGTGATAAAAGATTCGCTTAAAAATGGGCAAAATGTTTAATTTTACTTCCTCACACACGCGATTTAAGTTTAAAAACGATCAAAGTTTCCATCGAAGATGGCAGATTTTCATTTTAATTATAATCAAACGAGCAGTTTTAAGAGCTAAAATGCCAAAGAAATTATAAAAATTTCATTTTATATTTCTGTAGGAAAGAACAGAAGAAACTAGAAAAAGGTTTTAGTTTCTTGTTACACGTTAAACACTGTAATTTAAAAGATTGAAGGCGAAAGTGAAATGACGTCAGAGTGAAAGTTTAGTCAATGTCGATAAATGCAGATATTAGAAAAAAAGTAGATTCTGTAAGAGTGCCATTACGCATATTATAGCTACGAAAGGAAGCCAGTTTAGAAAATGGATTCGTGTTATGACGTAACAGTTCGTTTTATCAATACGTAAGAAAAGTTCCGATCAAAAAGAAAGGTTACGAAGCTACTGATGCTGACTTCACATTTTTAATTAAGCGTCATTCCCGTGTTACAAACCGAACAAGCGTAGCCATCAGTACAGAAACCTAAAGCATTTCTGGAAACGAAGCGAAAGAAATTACGCGATTCATACAAATAAAGTGTAGAAAGTAACGATTCAGCAGATTTTCTACCTCGTTTAACAAGCTTTTAATCTTTAATGGGAGAGGAAGTAGAATTTTTGAAATAGTTCTGCATCGTTTTATAATGTTTTAAATACTTTTTCATTGTCGTTGTAGAAGTAAGATGCGCGTAGATTAACTAATTACATATATAAATGCATTTCCGTCGACTTAATCGTGGGTTTATCAGTTTGTTAACGTCTTGTTAGCGCCTTTCTAGTACAAAAAAGCATTAATTGACGCTTTCTCTTTTCTTTAGGTCGGTCTTATCTAAGTGTATATTGTACGTCGGACGTCGTCCTTGTTTCCATGGCAACGAAACCGTCATTCTGGGCAACGAGCCAGTCAACTCTCCACTCGCCGACTTGACGCCCAACTTGTCACTCGCTTCGTTTTCCTTCGACAACAAAACGTCACACATGTTGGATATCGGCGAAGAGTAGGATGAATTCTCACACTCGAGGCATCGTCTGCGAGGACTATAACGACACTTACGTCAACCAAACCGATTGCGCCAATGTCAATTACTCGGGCGCTATCAACGATACCGGCTCGGAAATCGCATATTTAGATCCCCATTACTACTCTATGAACTATAGGGTGGTGGGTACCATCTTTCAGAGCATCATTTTCGTGGTGGGCGTGCTGGGCAACATCATGGTGGTGATAGTGGTGATGCGGACTCGAACTATGCGTACGCCCACTAATTGTTACCTGGTGAGTCTATCCATTGCGGATTTTCTGGTACTGATCTCTTCCGTGCCTAACGAGATCTTGGCATATTACTTGCTGGGTGACGAATGGATATGGGGTAGGGCCGGATGCGCCATATTCATATTTTCCCAATACCTTGGTATCAACGTCTCTTCTCTATCCATCACGGCATTTACTATAGAAAGATACATAGCTATCTGTCATCCCATGAAGGCCCAAACGGTTTGTACCGTCAAACGTGCCAAAAAGATCATTATTATTGTTTGGTGTTTTGCCTTTATGTACTGTTCGCCTTGGCTCTTCTTGACCAAAACCAAGCCGCTGTATTACAAGGGGCACACGAATAAGGAAACGTGCGACTTCGCAATAAGGCGTAAAGATTACTTGACCTACTTCTTCGCAGATCTCGTCATCTTTTATATTATACCCTTGGTCATATCCTGTGTACTCTACGGCTTCATTGCCAAGATACTTTTTTCCAACGACATACCTAAATCTTCGGGAAAAACCAATGGAGTCCTTAATGTTTCCGATTCGAAAAAATCTAGCACAGTGGGAAATGCTAGAGTTCAGGTGAGTTTCCTAACACTTTTCACCTTCCTTCTTATCTATAATTATTCGAAATTTGCACTTTTATAAAGGAAACGTGTAAAAAAACACTAGAAATCTGTATCGATTTTGAGCATTATAATTGATAAAAATCGAAGTTAGAGGCGTGAAAAGATAATTTCTTTGAAAAATTTTTCAATAAATTTTAGATAATTACACTTTACTTTTATCTAATTATCAATTAATCACCTCATACAGCGACGCAGCTACTAACATTTTTTTTATCGTTACGTATTAAATAAAAAACACTCTCTTCTGTTTGTAGTAGCGCCGTCACAGTTTCCTAATTCAACTCAATAAATTCGTAGATAGACAATTCGGTATGTAAAACAAATTTATAACTACATCTGCAACCGTATACAACTAATAATATGGTGATAATGTCTGATTAAATTTACGATTTTAATTTAATTTTAACGTTTAAACGGCAGAATTCGTGTCTGGAAAGTTTTAATTGTCATTTCTATGTTGTCAAAAATTTTAAAAGGGACTGTTAACGTACACGAATTGAACCAAAATGTAGTTTTACAGATACTTTATGTATAAAAAATGTAAAAAAAGTAATTGTTTATAGACAATTCTCGATAAAGAAATCTTCAACTTGCATTTTAAAGTTAAAAAGTCTCGTTTAATATCATTTTTATCGATTAAAGTTTCATGAAATCTTCACGATATAAATTTCTTTTTTCATTATTTCTTAGACGAATTCTCTTCTCAATCCAACAGCAAATAATCGATTTTGATGTATGAAAAAATTCCTGATGTTTGCATCTTATATAAAAAACTTTTTCCTTCTCCAAAAATAAATTTTATGATAAAAGTTTAAATATTAGCGGTTAAAAAATAAAAAAAATATATTGAGGTAGTCACGTTTATTTTATAGCTAATTACGAGAAAATTTATGTTTTATTGCTGATAAAAAATTTATTTGTTGAAAAATTAATGTAAAAAGTCTTCTAGTTACACTGGATTTTCTGTATTTCTTTTAATTTTCTGTTTTTTTGTAACGTGAAAATGGTGAAATTTACTTATTTTCAGGTCCGTGTTATGTTATAACAGCTGGGAAAGTAATAACGTAACATGTATGTAAGAACATTGTAAATATAAGAGGAATATTTCCCTTTGACGTATGGTCGATCGAATGGTAATGATTTCGATCATTAAAAATAATTAAAGTTTATCTCGGAATGCGAAGTTAAATTTAAATATAAGCTTAAAATTTTATCTAATATAATTAAGTTCACTTGTTTATCTACACGAGTAGCAAAAACAGAAGCTTTAATAAACAATTTATGAGCCTTATAATTACAAAACTTCAACTTTAAATTAATTAATAAAAGAAATAACAAATCACGAGTTAAAATTCTTTCACAAGAATGAAATTTCCTACAGGAAAATTAAAATTTTTTTACTCTGTTCTTTCAATGGTTTCCTTAGAGTAGACATTATTTGATATAAGAATATCTGTGACAGAGATTTTAATTTAATTATTTAAGTGATCAGTAATTAATAATGGCCATTATCCGTGGTGATAGGTTAGAGTGTAACAAGATTATCTTCCAGCTATTTAAGGATTTAATCATTGTTAAATTGACTTAAACTTACTCAGGAGACAATCAATTATTGTCAAAGCGATTTAAATATTGTACAAAGCGACTGACGTAATGAAATTTCGTTGTTTTATTCAACAATATAATCATAATTATTATAGACTTTGTGCTGGAAAAAATGCAAAGATTGTTAGCTAAATTGAAATCGCGAATTGAAATGCTTTCAATCATTAAAGCCAATATTGTAAGGTAAACATAAATTCTGCAGGGTGTTTGAAAGTCACTTCCAACTTTTGGAAGTTTCATTCTCCTATTGTATATGCTCAAGTTGCATGAAACTCCGATGGGCTTTTGTGTGTGAACGGCTCTGTGACAGTCTTAATGTTTTTATTTCAAGACGTGAAAGAGCTTTCATATTGTCTGCTTTCTGCCACAAATCCCGTGTCATCGGCTATATAAAAAGAATTGTCACCGTTTGATGGCAATTTTTTATTATCTTTGAATCTTTTCACGTTGATCCCGCCAACAACTTTGAACTTCAATCATTGAGCCTCGGACCTCACAACGAGAATCAATTTTGGCTCTGCCTTGTATAGTTAGAGTTCTGGTACTACAATGTACTGTTCATAAAAATGAAAACATAACGGCATAAAATGGGCATTTTTCCCTCTAGGTATCGCCTTCTAATATTTATAAAGTTTATCTAGTCGTCAGCTTAATTTATAAGAAGCGCATTTGTATGTCAAATATGAAATAATCAGACATCATAAAAGTACTGAATCTCGATATTTTCACAAAACCATGTTTAAGAATAGAGTAAACAATTTTATATGCTAATATTCACTTTTTTAAATGATGATAGCTTCATCCGATTTTGTAAAGTGCAAATGGATTTGATAAAAAAACATTCCAAATGGCTATTAAAGGAGGGAATCGGCGGTTGTATCGATAAAACTAGAACGTGAAATCGTTTATGCAAATTAATTTTTAGAAAATATCAGTAAACTTTTTTATATTTTAATTTCTTCTTACAGTTTATTTATATTTAAAAAATTAAAAAAAATGGCAGAAATATTTTAGAAATGCTCACTAAGAGTATAAGCGGTAACGATCTTGCGTGATATTGTTACCAATTATTATGGGCTTTAACCATAAATATATGTATATATTATATCAAATGATATAAAAAACCCTCAATTATCCATTATTATCCGGTTTCTCTCCTCATATAGTACATAACGGAGTGTTTAGATAAAAAGAAATGACTATTTTAAACAAAAATCAATTATCTGGATATTCCGAATGGCCGGAGGTCCTAATTAATTCCGGATAATTGGAGTTTTATTGTATATATTGCTTAATAATCGCCTAAATTATAGTTATTTATTAACATTATAAGAAAAATAAGATGAAAATGTAATCAATCAGGAAATAACTCGTAATAAAAATTGTCATTTTGCTTCACTTTCGTAAAATTTATTACGGAAATTACTCAACTCGAAAGTGATTTTGGATAAAATTATTCAAATTTTAACAATTTTCGTTGGTATAATATTAAATTAAATCCATCAATAATTTAAATTACTTAACAAAAACCAATTTAAAGTTTTCTCAATGGCCATAGCAATATTTTGTTTTTAGATGAATTTAAACTAATTTTTGAAGATTTAAAAAAGAAAAAAAGTGATTCAGTTTGTAAATATGCAAAATTTTAATCTACAAAAATTTAAAATTTAAATATTCCAGCCACTTTAAAATGGTTACTTCAACATTAAATCGAGAAAATGATTTAATTTTATAACTTTTTACGAGAATCTTTTTGAAAATAAATAAAAGGATATTATAATAAACATTGAAAAAGGTCACACGCGCTGGTCTTCTAACAACTTTATCCTTGAAGTAACCTAATTATCATTAATTGACCACGTGACCGTAACTGCACCTCGGTTTGTTCTCTGCCACAACTTGAAAAGTTACACACAAAAAATAGAACTTTTACATATTAAATAAGTAGAAATTATTCAAAATTACGATGCAAAATTATGATAGATGAGAATTATAAATTGGTTATGATAAATACCGACATTTTTTTCTGTACAGTATTTTTTTTTAATATCACACTTCTATTTTATGAAATAAAATAGAGTATGATGCTTATTGTAATTAATAAATCAGTTATCCATTATTATAATTATGTTTATATAATTGTAAATTAAGTTCGCTTATCTCGGATAAGATAAACATTTAGTTATCACTTCAAAGACTTTATAATATTTATACTTAAATTATATATCTTATACACGTTTAAACTTCATAATAAACGATATTTTATTTATTTAACTTAAATAAATCGAAACCTTTATGATGAAACTACATTAGGAAATCTTTAAGATCTTACATAATGTAAATGTTCAATAATTAGTTTCATTTAAAAGCATTAAGACTAACACTTTTAAACAGTTTTAAAGGTTCAATTTAGCTATTTTAAGAACTGTCATCGGCACATAAAGTTATATAACGTACATACAAAGAAGAAAGATTTCTTGCAGAAGATTGAGATGTCGTTACATAAGCTTTTCAAAGTAAGTAATTCTTCTGCAAATATTAGACAGACCGATAATCGAAACTAATTAATATAACGAGGAAACAAATAACAACGCCCTGATCATAAAAGACATGATTAATATAAGATGTCTTCTCCCCCTTTAGAGCTACTTCAATATTCGTGCCTCCCTCCTCAGATTCGTATGGACAAAAATATTTCAATGTTACTAGGAATATGACAACAGAACAATAAAGTTTTATATAAATAAGTAGTAATGGTAGCCATATAAAATATCTGATATATAAATACATATAATGCTTAAGAATATATGCATTATGTATACGTACAGAACAGTATTGTGCATTACAGTTAAAGAAAAATCTAAATATGAAACGTTGGTAGGCCCTACTTACAACGAATACTTACAACGATTTAAGATATTGGAGGCCTTTCTCATTGCTTAATAATAGGGCCTTTTATTAAAAAAAGTAGATAATCCTAAACTATATCGTTTTCAATCGGGCCCTTCTTACTGTTATAAATATCAATAAGTACAAATTCTCTTAAGAAATATCTGTAAATATAAGCATTGTCATAAATAATCAGAATGGCGGTATTATAAATATTATAAATTATATAAGTTATAACTATTTATATGATTTTAGTGCTTCGATATCTTACCTCTAGTCATAACATTATACGATACGAATGCGCAATACATCCTATTATATAAATGATGCCTGTACTATGTATATTATAAAATATTTGCATCCTAATTAATATAATTTTATCGTAAAATATATCTGCACAAAAAACTAACAGAACCTATACGGCATACAACGCGATCACTCATTTCTTTTGAGTAATTT